TTTGCTGTCAATTTGACAGCTCATTTCTTATATAAAAAATGCATCATGTAGGAAGTGTGCCATGTTCTAAGCTTTCAAGTTCCCATGCAACTACTTTCTAGAGAAATCTGTAGAGATATGTTGCAAGGCCAAATTTAAGCCTCTACCCAAAATATCTTCTTTTTCAACCCTGGGTATTACTTCAGACATCTTGTTTTATGTAGCCGTCTTCCTTTCAAATGCCGATCAGATGATTTTATGACAATTTACTTAAAGTCAACATTTTTACACACATAACAACATAATATAAGGTGGGAAAAAAAATGAAAAACCACTTATGAATATGGAATATAAAGTCATAAGACAAGATTACAAATAACAACAGGAAATAAAAAAACAACTTGAAGTATTATTGTGGATTCATTTACTTTCATGGGTACCAATTTTCGTGGATTGAGGAAAACGCGCCTTATCATGGATATTTGATTTTGTGGTTTTGCCAAGGTCAGCATACAAGCCTATAGAAAATTTGTCATTCATTAATCCTTTAAATTCTTGGTTCACCTGTACCCACAAGACTCATGACAATAATGAATCCTCAGTAGTAGAGAAATATAAAACTTTACAAGAGTATCAAGTTAAAAGAGAAACCACAGTCAATTCATAAACTAATGCAAATCTTTGGCAACAGTCAGTAATTTGAGTAATTAGTAGTAATATGATTTCTGTAAATGTTTACATTGGTAGAAAGTTACTAGCAAAAAAAATTATCAATTTATTTTAATGTTCATTCTGTCCCATTGTTTGCTATTAAAACAATAATATTAATAAAGAAATTATTTGTGAATGTAGTTTATCTGTATTCCCTGGCATAGAATCCAGTATGACTAGTACCAATTCAGATGCATATTTTTTTTTTTCGTCTGCCATAATATAAATTATACAATTAAGCATGCATCTTCCTGAGATACAGGGAAAACTTTTTCTAGTGATCGTATTTATGACGGTACAGTAAGATACCCACTTTGAAAAACTCCAGACTACAAAAAGAGAAACAAACGTTTTTAATGAATCATTGTTTTGATTTTCACGATTTTCATGATTTTCACATTATGGAAATTATATAGATGTAAAAATTGATATAAAAAATTATCTCTAGAAAGACAAATATGTAATATTAATAATAGAATTGACCTGGAAATTATTTGTTAAATGAAATGAATGAATACTGTGGTTTCCACAGAAATAACTTCAGAGATCAATACGCCTCCATAACTACACAATTTAATCCTGGTCAAAGTCTCCTTAGGAGTTGAACTAATTGGAAGATAAGTTGTTCATGCAGGGGACACTTCCAGAAAATACCAAAGTTCATTCTATTCTACTGCTCACGATAGCCTCTAAATGTAGGAAATTTGATTTATCTTAGTGAAGAAGTGTTCCAAACAAGGTAATGGGATTTTCTGCTTTATAAATAATTTGATTTTTGTTTTAGTTAAGAAAACTGATCTGTTTGTTGGATGAGAAAAGTGATTTGTTTTTTTAAATGATTTGTATTGTTCCTTTCTATTAAGATTTTTTTTTTTTTTTTTTAATCCTGCAGCCAGTTTTAGCCAAGACTATAATCAAGGTGATGCATGTAGCTGCAAATTGGACTGTTCAAAAGTCTAGCTAGATTCAATATTTGTTTTTATAGCAGTGTAAAATCTCTTTAATGAAAAATTAGATACATTTACAATTTAAAATCATCTTCTATTTAATAAATGTTTTCCAATTAAAATGGGGCAAATATTATGACAGGAACAAAATTTTCTTTACATGTGAAAAAAGACAAAATACACATTCACAGTATTGAAAGTAATTAAAAAAAAAATCATTTTTTTTTATAAATGAATTAAAGGATATGTGGAGTAATTACCTCATTGAGACAAAACAACATTTTTTTTTCGACACATATATTTGACATAAATATGGGACATATAGTTCATCAAAAACAACTTTACTTTCAGTGGCACATATGACAAGTTAGCAATGCCATTTAACTTTTCTGCTAATTAATAAAGTAAACCCAAGAATTAAAATCTAGTCTGTACTGTATGCAAACAATCACAGTTTCTTTTTTCTTAAATTTGCTGAGAAGTATTTAATGATTTATGATTTGCTTCCTTAATTGTTACACCTAAAACTTTATAATTATTGTTATGCAAGCAACAAATGGGGGATTTAGGGAGTTACTCTCTCCTCCCATTGAAAAAAAAGGTATATATTAGATCAAAACAACTAAAATGTCAAAAAAAGTAATCATTTCCCATGTTCAGCGACTGGTGTTTAAAACTTGATTCCAAAGCTGGAACTTGATATTTTTACCTACATTAATTCCAATGGTCCTATTATTTTAAAGATTAATCATGCCTTTCACAGAGGATCCTTTAATCCACCCATTCAGATTGCAATTGCATGGTAAGAGCCTTAAGTTCCAGTAAAGGGGTTTTAGTGACATTGTTTCTCTGTTCACTCACCTGAACATTGGAAACGAGATGAAACTTTGAAATTGACACTATTGACTTTTCTAGCATAACAGAATATGATGTAATAATCACTGAAAAAAATATTACCAGAAATTATATTGACTTCATTGCTGAAAATATCTCATGATGATAATGTTTTCTTTAAGTTAATTGATCATGTTATGAGAGAAGAAGAGCTAACCATAAAAATCCTCTTTTTGTTAAAATGTCAAAAGTTAGTTCTTCTTGTTAATAAGGTTAAATCCCTTTATGAAGATCTTTCCTGCCAGGTTTACTTTAATGAATTTTGATGATGAATTTCCTCCTTTAGAAACTAATGCCAATTTGATTGTTATAAAAGACAACTTCAAGGAACCTCGCTGAGTGGATGTTGAAGAATCTCTGTTAGAGTATTTTATTTTAATATTTTATGGATATTTTGTTTGATATTTCAATGTTTTATATAATCACCAAAAAAAATTGTGATTATGGTCTGAGTCTGTCACCATTGTCATAAACACTTTCTTCATCATTATGGTTAGATAACTATAATTCTTACGTACTACCTTATGGGGCTTTACATGTTTTTATTGCAGTTTTCCTTGTCGCAAAAGCTTACTGTGGATTCATTTATTTTCATAGATACCAATTTTTGTGGATTGAGGAAAACTTGCATTTTCCTGGATATTTGATTTCATGGTTTTGCCAAAGTCTGCATATAAGCCTACAGAAAATTTTTCATGTGTTGAACATTTAAATTTGTGGTTCACATGTACCCACATAATCCACGAAAATTGGTATCCCTCAAAAAATAACGAATCCACAGTATATTGATAATTTTTATCTGATTTTGATGTCAGTTTCCCTTCTTCATTATATTCATCCCCTCAGTGTATCCTGGGGTATAATTATTAGTGCCGGTTTCTTCTAGCCATGTCTTATATGTAAATCTGTAGAACTGTAGAACCTACCTATTGCATTTATTATTATTTTGTTCTTTTCCTGATTATGCACGAAATATTTGCCACTGAACATTAAGCAAACATTACAATCAATACATCATTATATTTCTTTCACTTTAAGAGATATGATGTATGAGTCCTAAGATATAAGAAGACTGAACAATGTGCATAAAGTCATGATTTGTACTCTTTATCACATTTTTCAGTCAGTATGATTTTTATGCACTTATGATTTCTGATGTTATATGCGTCCAAAGAGGCCAGGTACAGCTCACACTATGAAAATTCACTATATAGTACATTGTATACATTATTACTGAACAATCAGATCTGTCATACCAAGGACACAATGATTATAGAAACTCAGCACACAATAAGTTATATAACAGAAGTCTGTAAACTAATAAAACACATGCCAAACTGACAAAATGACACGTAAACACAAAAAGATGGTGCCTTAAAGTTTTGATAGATTATTGTAAATGTTGTACTGTCTTTGCATGTACATAGTCCTTAAAAGGCAAAACTGGACATGTACTGTACTGTTTCCATGTGTGAATAAAAGGAGAAGTAGTATAAATCAATGAGAAAACAACCCACCAACAAAAGTTCCTCAAAATCAGACACCAACATGGTCACTGTCATACAAATATTAGTAAGACATCAACCCAACAACAAAAGTTTACAAAAAATAATTACCTACAGTGTCACAATAAATACAAATATTAGTGAGACAAAACCTAACAACAAGAAACCAAAGGTTATCACCTACTTGGCCTCAACAGAAGGGTGGTCTAGGTTCTAGTTGTTCATCTACAATAATCAATAACCAGTCAACACTAAGGTTGTCAGTTTGAACCCGGATTGTTGAAAGGTCATTCAACTCCAATCTTAAATGACTAGGATTGCCAGTTTTTCTGCTGAAGGTCATGGTTCTCTCTAAATACACATAACAATGAGACAAGTGACAACCCAACAAGAGTTTAACAAATGTAATCACCAACATGTCATCACACACACTTTTAAATTGTCTAAACCTGATAAGACAGGTTCCAATTTCCCAAGAGTATAGACAAGTTGTGAATGAATTCAGCAGAGCCATGTTCTTTTGGCACCCATTGCTGTTAGAATATACTAAATATCCATATTTATCACAAAATATAGAACATAGAATATTAACACAATAATTCATACATTAGAAGTTAGTTATATGGATGATATGAATCTCTGAAGAAGGAATGAATATATGTAGATCCGTACATTTGCATTTTCATGCAGGCCGGTAATTAAATCAAAAATATGTTTTCTTCAAGTTCAGTTCACTGGTGTCCATGAGACAGCCTCTTGGGATGGATGTCTTGAAGGACATATGATAGGTTATTCAGCACCACATCTTATTCATATATCGTTCCTCTATGTGTGCTTGGTTTCATAAGCAATTTGGTTTGTGATGGGTGATGGATTTTGTTGTAGTGTCCAATATATTTGATACTTCCTAAGTTTCATGTATAATATATGAATATGTAATTGAATATTAATTTGTATTTTTCAGGATGTAAGGAAAGATAAATTATCACGGAACAGTAGTTCATGTCCGTCTTTACAAAATCCTGATTCTGAAGTTGCTCCTGCCATAAATGTGAATGAAGGTAAAAAGAATCAAGGTTAAGTAAAAAAAAAAAAAAAACACCTCATTAAAAATGAAACCATACAACAAAATAGTCACCAGTTTTGTTGCAACTGGCCAGACCAAATTGACTAGGTAGAGCTGTTTAGACAATTGTTTGGTATTGACGTAGATATTCATCAGGTGGAAAAGCTTGAGTTTTACTTAGATTTTCTGCCCTTATTCTACCTAAAAAATTTACTTTCAACACCTGATATTTTGATAGAAATTGGCCACTTGCAAAAAAGTTGGTTAACACATGTGTGTTCTCAATTGTAATAAGTTATTGTTGGTACCATACAAGGCATTATATACATAATTGTAGCCTCTGGGGGTTCAGATGAAAACCCTCCTCCCTTGAAAAAAAAAAAACAAAAAACGAAAAACTATTAATGACTCAGTTGAGATTTAGATTGGGAGTGTGATTTAGTTAGAATGTGATGACCCCAAATAACTCTGTTCAGGGACATCCTGGCTACAGAACTGATATAACTTGTTTATCTACAAACTGTTACGAATATGTATCCCGGGTAAACATTATTTTTGGCCATCTTTGAAATTAATAAAGAATCCTGAAAATTAGTGACCACTTATGATGGAAGTTTCCTGCTTAAGGATGTGCCATAATCTCTTGATCATACATTTCAAATGCAAATTGTGTATTATTGATAACAAATGTAATCAAATTTGAAACCTAACTGTATTAAAAAAAACAGAAGGCATTGTTTGCTTTTTTGTTGAAAACTATTATAGCTAGATAGAACTGTAAATGTAATAAATGACCAGCAATATCAGATCAACAAATAAGTCAACATAACCACAATTGTCAACTCCTTACATGTGTTATTGCTCTGAAGGATGATTTTACCTTTTTTTTGTGTTTTTGGCTATTATCTTGAAAACTATTTATGTTTGAAAGAAGTTAAACACAGAAAAAAACTACCAGCAAGGTATGATCTAATAAGTCTACATAACCAAAATTGTAGGAGTTACTGCCCTTGAAATATATTTTTTTTTAAATAATTATGCTTTTTGGGCAATTATCTTGAATACTATTATAGATAAAGAGAAACTGTGAACAGCAAAATTGGTTAGCTAAAGAAGATCCCTAAAAAATCAGCACAATGACCAAAACTTACAATCAAGTAATCTCATAAGTCTGGTCTGATATGGAGATCAGTACAAATTATATTTTGTTTTGATGTATCAGAAAATCAACCATTTTAAACAGCAAAATAAACAAATTAACTCTAAATCTAGTGTCATAATTAAAATAAAAAATATTCATAACGATCAATAACTGCATATTATGACAAACGATCCAGCTTAAAGCTTCAAATTGAATGATGCTTCAATAAATTATACAACATGGAATTATTTTTGCAGGGCACCATAGTTCTATGCACAATCTGGCCAAAGATGAGGAACAGTCAGTACTGGCCGAGGAGTCCACCCCATATAATGAAGAACTCAATTCAGATATTCAAATTGTTTCGGATGATGATTCTAGAGTACAAATTTGTGTAAATGGCATCACTCTTGATAGTTCTGACGATATTAGATTGGACACAAGTCTTAATAGATTTATTAAAGATTATTATGGGGACAACACCCCAGGAGTAAGACGCAGGAGTAGCTGGTGTCCACAAACATCAACCATCACCGAAGATCTTCATAACAAATATGTCAACCAGAGTTCTTTCTCGCAGGGAAAAAGGTACCAGAAATCCTTTTTTTTTTTTTTTTTTTTTATCCTTTTCAGAATATTATTTCCCCTTGCATGATTTATATTCAATTTGACACGTGTAGTTATACATTGCATTCGTACAATAATCATCGAGTTTTATGTTCCCTTTATTGGATTATTGAGCTAAATATACATCTTCTCTGTTATTGTTACATATCTTGTTTCAAACTCACTTTGCTCAAAAAGAGAGCAAAAAAAAGTAAAAACATAAAAATAAAAATAACTGAAATAATGTAAAAAAAAAACCCATTTTTTTTTGTATATGAAATTAGAAATAAATGTTATTTTGAAAGGCATATTTGTTTTCCTAAAATATATTAAGTAAACTATGTGTTGCTAAAAAAATAGAGTTTATTTTTAGAGATATAGACCAGAGAAGACATGCCTTCTAGTAAGACAGTTTCATAGCTTCTATTCGTAATGAAAAAAACCCATTACTCGATTAAATGTTTCTACTTTCATTAACAAACAGGAGTTTTTCGTTATTTATTTAAAGAGTACTCTCTATACCTAATGAATTTGACATCTTTTCGTCTATTAACTAATTTGCTGATTACAGTGTTTGTTTGCAATTAGATGTGCTGTTCTTTCTTTTGACATAACTTTTCACTAACTCTGTTTGTTTTGTTGTCCTGTCACCATTTAAAAAAATTAACACACAATTTCTTTCATTACTGTGTATTTCAAATTTTACACTGACTTTTGTGGTTTTCGATGGGTACAGTTGCATGCACAATTTGAAACATAAATCAATTTTAAATCACCTGACAGAAATGAATCTTTTTCCAATAAGGACAAATTTACATTGAGAAATGTAAAAGCTACTGATTTTCATAATGGTCTATCTCCATTAGCAAATTAGATATTTTAAGTAACAGTTTGATTTAGTTCAAGCCTTGTATACCTAATTCAGACTGACCTTGTATCCCTTGTGTATGGCCTCTTAATCTAGGTCTTCTCTAAATGTAAACAACTCTTCATGATTTAGTAAAGCATGTTGATTGCAGTAGGTATAATTGATAAAACAGAGAAATATTTACTTATCTTTGGATAATAAAAAAATAATAATATTGACCTTTGTAAAGATCTGCAAGATGAACGTATATCCTCCAATAAATGCCTTTAGTTTTCAAAAATCAGAAACTTGATATGAAAATGGATATGAGATATGATTGCCAGTGAGGCAACTATTGACTAGAAACTAAACAGAATAAAAAGCACCTGTCATGTTGGCCATGAAAAGAACCTCACCAAAAACCTATGTTGAACTTGTGCTATGGAAATTGGTTCACAATTCCTGTTCCAGTAGTGGCACCTATCATATTGCTTATAACAAGAAGTTCATCAAAAAACAGTGGTGAACTTTATTCTCTGGAATGGTGTCATATTGCTTATGACAAGAACTTCATCAAAATCCAGGGGTGAACTTTATGCTCTGGAATGTTTCACAGTTCCTGTTCCTATAGTGGCACCTGTCATAAAAATCTGATGACAAACTCATTATGTGATACATCTGAATAAAAATGCATTGTGAATGACAAATTTCATATCCATTTTCATATTAAGTTTCTGATTTTCAAAAAACTGAGGGCATAACCATCTGTGACAAAGATTTTCCAAAACCTCACCATTGATTTCTATGGTAACAAACTTTGAATTATTCAGTAAAAGAACATCATCTTTGAAGTGGGAAATAAAGATAAAGGATAATGCTTACTTCTTTTCTTTTTTCTTTAAAAGCCCATATCAGACTTTAAACTAGTCTCGTAAAAAAGCTTATTGCAAAAGAAATGAAACCTTTCCACAGAATCAGTTTACCTGTCCATTTAATTTTTTGTTAACCTTACTTGTTGAATACATATGATACAAAAATTTAAATGGACAGGTAAACTACAGCTGATTCTGTGGAAAGGTTTCGTTTCTTTTGCAATACTTGACTTTATTGAGTCAAATACGGCAACATAATTTGTGTTTACTGTTGTTGGCCTAGTTTCATTGCCTGTGATTAATTGCCCAGTTTATTTACTACTGGTCATTATTTGGTTTCAGAGAAATTCCTTGCTTAAGAGGTTTTTGAATTACTACAAGCTAAAAAGTAATTTCTGGTAATTTTCAGGCTGTAGATAATTGGGTTTTATTTTTGTCCATTAATTACAAAACTCAAAGGGAAATCATTACCCACAAAGAATACCAATAATCCTATCAATAATACATAACATGTACTTGACGTGGTTTCATAATCAAAATTAAATCAACTTTTATCTGTTCAGCATTCTTGGTTATCTTGAGTTACTTCTTTTCTTTACGGTTTGTTTTATAACTATCTTATGCTTGATGGTTAGAACATTTCTGTAAGTCTTGTTAGTCCAGCTGCACCATCATGGAGTCCATATGTCCATTCCAATGAATTTTTTTTAGCCCATCTGACATAAAGGGCCAATAGGAGCTGTTATCTTTACTTGGTGTTTGAAATCTGTTCACTTTTCACTCTTTCATCTTCTGAATTTGCAGTATCTGATTCTCAATTAGTCATTTTTTAAATTTCTTCTCTTCAAGCCTTTTCAAACTTTATACAAAAGATGATTTGTAGACCTTTTCTGCTGATTGGATGGACTTCATCATATATGTTCCCATTTAATCAATTGGGAATCACAGTTTAATTGTCTTCTCTTACTACATACATAATCCTAATTATTAAAACTTAGGAGTAATGTACAAAAGGTCTTTATAAAAATCTTCTCACTTGACAGTCCCTTGTGTAAAAGGCAATTCTTAATTCTAGTTGTTTTGAAAGAGTGATCACTTTTGACATTAGAAATAGATCTATATAGTTGATTGATACTGTCTCTTTAATGGTTTGTAGTTTTTTTTTTATGTATCTTTTTTGCACTGTTAACTATTTTATGTGTCTTCTGTACTAAGGGGAGATAACTATTTCAACCTTGGCCTTGGCATGACCCAGACCATAAATAAATGCTTGTTTACACACAGTAATTGTCAACAAAAATGGATTTTCGATTAGGTGCCTGTAAAATATTTCTTATTAGTCTAGCATATAACACTTTAAGGGTTGAATTGACATCTTTTATTGTAGTTTCATAATCACTTGCTACCAGCATTTTCTGATTTATTTTTTTATTATTATCAAATAATTAATACATGTATTCAATGAACCAAGGTTCCAGTCATATGGAATACTAAATGTTGTTTCATGTTAGTCTCAAGGTTACTTAGAAATGTTTTACAGGTTTTGGTAAGAACTCCGTAAAGAAGATTTCAGTATCTGTCTTTGTAAAGAAAGCAAAGCCACTAAGTAACAATTTTATTTCATCTGTCTGTCATTTAGATTTGATCTGCTGAAAGTAATGCATTTTCCTATCTTAAATGTTATTCTAAAAATAACAGTTATCTGCAAGTTATCAAAATAACCTGTTTTGATCATCCCCCTCTTAAACCTCTGTGCATGTGCAAAACTCATTGCACTTCAAGTGCATCTCAAAGCTATAAATCGTCTTATCTGATGCAAGGTTGTCTGGCAAGTGATTAATTTGAAACATCTTGATATTAACCTTATCTGTTAAATAATGAGACCCAATTTGAGAAATTAAATCAAGAAAAAACAACTGAACGAGATTTTTTTCCAGCAAGAGATATTATACTTCTTCTCTGTTGTAAGCAATACGTAGAAAGGGAAAATATACTGCTATGTTGGGAAACCGTTTCGACTTGTTGGAAACATGTCAGTTAAAGTCAGTTCTTGTTTATATTCTGTTTATTTATAGTTAACATCAAAATATTTTAATTTTTTTTTAATAATTTTCTTTTTATATATAGGGTTCATTGTTGCCAAGTTTAGATAAAATTCTTATGAAATATGATTAAAATCATGCATTTGCATGTTGAAAATACCTTTTGATTTCTGAGTTATTTATTTAATTACGTTTTTTATTTAAGAATCATAACATGTGTGTCTTAGCCTTTGAACATTTTTCTTTTATTTTGGTATTTATCGTGAAAAGAAGGGTTTATTGTGTGGATGTATTTCCCCAAGGTAGACAATAGCCTTTTGCCAATTAATTCTCCTTAAAATAAGAATATTTTAACTACCAGAATGGAATAATGATTATGGCAAAATGAATGTGTTTTTTCTTGGAGGAATCTCTAAAGCAAAATGTGTTAATATACTGGTATACTTTGACCTATAATTGTTTACTTTTACAAATTGTGACTTGGATGGAGAGTTGTCTCATTGGCACTCATATCACATCTTCTTATATCTATGATAGGGTTTTAAAAATGTAGATTGACAGTCTCATGCCATTATATAGAATTTTTGCATTGAGATGGTATTAAACATATGCAATGCAATCAACCATTAAAATAATTATCAGCAAATATGAAGATGAATTCCATTTTCTATTTCAGTGCAAGTTTGAACCAACTTGATGGAGATGATTCAGACGATTCCTATCATGATGCCAAGGAAGACAACATATCAACCAATCGACAAAATCCATTAGACATGGATGCTATTAGTATATCACCTTCAGAATCAGGCTGCTCAAGTCCTTTCTGTAATTATGTTTTACAAATTATTGGAATGTCTTCAGAATCAGTTTGATAGAATCTGTTTAGAAAATCTCTTCTCATATTGTCTTAAGAACCAAAATGTTTAAAGTTCATTGCAAATTTACTACATTTGTATATAATTATTTAAACTAGATAGCATAATATTTTTTTTTTTAAATCAGAAGCCTTAAAAATTCAATTGCTTAAAACTTGCTTATTAAATCAGATTGTAAATAAAAATTAACATATATTTTTTAATACCTAGTGCAAAGCTAGGTTTATTAAAACAGGACTGTGCTGTACAAAAGGTTGTATGACATTCTATCTTTTATAAGTCTATTTTAAAAATCTATTCAATTAAAGATGAATCTTTGTTGATAGTCTGTTGTTAAATGCCAGCCAGGGTTGTTTTTGCAATTATTTGTATATCAGTATAAAAGTAGTAGGCGCATTATGGCCATATTTGAAATGCCAGCCATGATTTATATATTTTCAATAATTAATATATTCTTATACAAGGAGTAGGTGCAATAAGGCCATTTTTGAAATGCCAGCCAGGATTTTTTTCTCAATAATTTGTTTATTTTTACCTAATTTTTTAATGAAATTTGCATATTGATTTTAAGATTTACCTGTATAAATAACAAAGTTTTGTAAAAATGATGTCTTCAGGAGGCAGCACATAACAAAAAACCTACCTTCAAGCATTTTTTTTGGTGAAAAAATGTAAACGTCCGCAGGTTTAAAAACATTTTATTTTATTCACAAATATAGAGCACATGCAAGAAGCAACTAGAAAATTTAATTTGGTCCTTAAAATCTCAGTGGATGGTAATTAGACATTACATCTTTAACTTTGCCCATATTTATCCAACAAGGTAATGCAAAATTCATGTGATTTCAGATTTCAGAGGCAATTTCTCATTTCTCATTTGAAATTTAATATCATGTGAAAATTCACTAAAAAGTTATGTTTGAATCCCTCCCTAGCTACTGCTTTCTCTCTATGAAAAGAATTAAAAAAACTCTTACTCCCCAATTGTCATTACCATGAAAGGTTATTGATAAAAGTAGACTAGTATAAAGTAACTATGTTAAAATGAATTATCTATTGTCTTTATTTGAATAGCAGATTTTGTCAAGTTTAATTCATAAAAGTTTATGTTTTATAATTTTAATTTATATTTCAGATAAAGAGGCTTCTGATGAGAGAGGTTATGAGCAAGGGTTAACTGGAGATTCCCTTATTGGAACACTTTACCATTTACAACAAGAACTTGTTACTCCAAGAGACAAGAAAAAAGTAATTAAAAAATATTTCAAATTGCAAAGTACCGGTATATCAATCCACATCTACATCATTACATATCACGATTCAGAATTAATTCCTGACATAAAGGAAAGATTTAGAAACATGACTCCTGACATAAAGGAAAGATTTAAAAACATGACTCCTGACATAAAGGAAAGATTTAAAAACTACTCCTGACTTAAAGGAAAGATTTAAAAACAAGACTGCTTTGCCATTTTAACACATGAACAGCAAAAGATTGACTCTCCATAGAAGAGATCAAAGCGTTCAATGATCTTGTGACAGGCAGTAGGAAACATCAACACGAATAAATGAATTGACTAAGATTGTCAGTTTTCCTGTCAAAGGTTGTTGTCCTCTCTCTCCAGCTTCCTCCACCAATATAAACTGACCACCCCATTAAAGCCAATATTGCTGAAAGTGGCTTTAAACACCCAACCATCAATCAACACAAATTGAAAAATGATGAAGATGATTGAAATATATAAAAGATTCAAAGTTATTGAATGAATGAAGTATACAAGGTTGATACAGCAACAAAATAAACATAAGTTATTAAACCAAATATTGAGTTACAACAGTTGAAGTCAAAGGGAAAAGTTCATTTCAGTATGTAGTTTATATTTTGACATTTCTTCATCCTTTCATTTAGTCCTGAATATGCATGAAATATTTAGTACTGGACGTTAAGCAAAACAAAATCAGTTATTCAATTTTTGCTGTAGGAAAATGTATATTTTACAATTGTTTTGTTTTAGACTCAGGTACGGAATTTGTCCGAGGAGATTAATCAGAGTGGCGACTCTGAAGAAGAGAATTCTAAATTGACTGTTCCTCAACATTCCAGTAACATGACTAAAGCACAGTCAACACCTTCAATACCACACGCTGTTTCGACAAGTAAGTCAGTATTGTATCATGTCAAATGACTTGAAATAAAACAGTCAAATTTGACAGTAGCAAATTAGATGACTAAGAATAGTCAACACTTGTTTCATCTAAGAAATTTAAGATAGAAACAATATTTGAAAAAGGGGATCTTTATAATGCCTTCCTACTGTCAGATTGTATCACCAATCAACATTTATATCACTTATGTTTTGAATATCATGCAAGGTTTAAACTAAAATATATATCTGTTGAAAAATGATAAAAATTAGAAATTTCAAACACAAAAACTACGAGCTGACAAAATTTATGTTTTGAATATCTTTATTTCTGAAAAATTACATTTTTTGGTATAATAAAGCAGGTTTCAAATAAACACCAATGAGATCGGAACATAAAAACATCAGTAAATCAAAATTAGGGCAAATTACATATAAATTAAACAGAGAAACTCAAAACCTTACACTAAACATCAAAAATTCTGTGTAGACAACTTGGAGAAATAGTTACAAAGATGATGAAAGAACAAATATTATCATCTAAAGCTTAGAACCTTATAAAAATAGTCAGCCCTTAACCTATTTTAGAACGTCCACTTTTGACTTTCTTCGGACCAGCAAAACCATACCACAATGACATTTAAACCAGTTGGGTGAAATTACTTGCAGTGAAATTACTTGCAGTGATAGTACTTGCAGTGAAATTACTTGTAGTGAAAGTACTTGTAGTGAAATTACTTGTAGTGAAATTACTTGCAGTGATAGTACTTGCAGTGAAATTACTTGTAGTGAAAGTACTTGTAGTGAAATTACTTGTAGTGAAATTACTTGTAGTGAAATTACTTGTAGTAAATGTGTTGAAGCATGCAAACAATTACTTTTTTCAGTGGGCCAATCAAAAGGAAACACCACCAAAACACAAAGTTAGATTTGTTCAGTCAAATTTTATTTCAAACAACCAGTTACATTGGACCGCAATTTAATAATCAAAGAATTGATAAGGATTTTTTTTTTATTTTTATAGGTGAAAAATTGGGGCATACTCGGGATCCAAAACAGTAAGTACTTTCTAAACAAACTGATACTTGAACCAGTGTAACTACCACACTTTGCATTAACCTCATTCTGATTTAAACACAAATCATGTGTCCATGCTTTGCTTACAAGGATCTGACACCAATCTGTTTTACTTTCTGTTGGGAAGGTTTTATCTTGATGATGCATACCATTTGAAATTTGGTGCAGAAATTTCATTGGTTGACATATTAATCGAAACAGAAAGTAGAAGAGAGCATTGTCAGATCTTTGTAAGATAAGTGAGTACACCTGATCTGTATTCTAATCAGATTGCATTAACCTCTAATGACCTGCTGCTTTCATTGATTTTGTTACCCTGAATGTAATTTTGACCATCCTGCAGTTAAAACTGTACTAAAAAATTGTTTTATTCATCTTTTAAATTTTAATTTCTTGTCAGACGACTCCTTAGAGAAAGAAAACTTGTGCAGTAGGGCTGTTGAGTAGTGTGAACACTTCATGATCAATTGTCTTCTGACATTTTGAATATTTTACCTTTGCTCTAAAACAATAGAAATCTATCTTTTAAAGTCTAAAGGCTAATGGTTATAGATTATACAAATATTGTCAAAGTAAGTATTAGCAAGAAATCATTGACCTAGTGAGATATAATATAAAAATGTGCCATTTTAAATGACAGTTATGAAAATCTTCATTTCTCTTTGTTCTCATAGTCTTTCTGGTAAACACTTAATGTTTTGATAGTTTTACTGAGGCAAAAAAATCAGGCTTTTACAGAACATATCAAATTATAAAAATTGACGATTTAACAATACTATTTTCCTCCTCCTGACAGAAGAGCAACGTTTTTCCGGTATGTCTTCAGATGTCTAACATATCTATATATATATATACATAACAAATGGATGGGATGTCTGTTGTCATTGAGAAATAGATATAGATCAAAATATAACCATTAATTGTTAATAATTGGAATTTTGATTTTAGCTGGATATTGATTACCCAATATTTGATATGGTGTTTCAGTTATAGAATGTTATGTGCATGTTGGTGTTGGATGGTTGTATTCTGTCGTAGTTAAAGTACACTTAAATAATTAACTTCCTGGTTGCTGGTAATTAATTTCATAAATTCAATTATGCACTTAGAATCATTTAGTTGAGTTCATTTATGCAGATTTGTTTACAATATTGTCTGAATTTTTATGTGGCCAAAAGAAAACTTATTCATTCCAAATGTATGCTGCATAGATAATTTGTATTACGAATAAGTCATGTACTGGACACCAAGAAAAAGGGAGATAGAAGAAAATGAACTGAGGAATATAAACATGTAATAGAAAATCATTTTCAAGTAAAACTGATGTAGTACAGAATTCGGCTGTTAGGATGAAAATAGGGGTATTTGTTGACAAGACGTATCTGTTCCCTTATATTAAAGGGTTAACTCTATGGAACACATTTTCATAATCTATTTTCATTCTGAACAAGGAAAAGAATAAATAGTTTGAAATCTTTAAGTGAAATTGATTTTTTTTAAATGCGATTGATTTCAGACCACACCATAGATCCTACTTATATATACAAAAACTCATTGAAGAACATGAGTGAGTGAGATTTTATTTTGGCAGTGATTATTTTTTCTTGTATTTTGCACTTTATATCTTGGTGCTTTTTTTCTCACATGTACAGTTGTTATGAAAATTCTGAGCATATATTTTTTGGTATTTATGGTTGCTTAACACAAAGCTGTTTGAAACATATTGCCATTCTTGAAGCTTTTAATAATAAAAGTGTATGATATAGGGGAAACGTGTATTGGTCTTTTGTTGTTATTGCTGGACTTAACTCGTATTAAAACATTTTATATTATGCATGTGCATTGAATCTTTGTATGTGTATAGAATTAGCTAACAAAGTTTGAAATGAAATAATCTAAAATTCTGAAATATCGTTTCAGTGTACGTCTCTCAACTTTTTATTTGTATTTTCATACAACAAAAATTTATTCCATAAAGTTGTACCGTAAAATGAACTTCTTCGTCAATTATGGAAGATCTTGACCTTTATAACCCTATATTTCTTCTTTATTTATAGATATCACTTTTGTCATTAATAGCAAGTTTTTACTGCAACATTTAGCAAAGTTAAGCATGCTTTACACTGAAACTTTGTTTGCAGTGATGCAAAAGTTAGTGAACACTGCATGGCTTGCATGACACTTTTCTGTGTTAGTTATGTGGTTATGCTATTGTGATTGTTATAATGTTAATATGTTCATATTGTTATATTGTAAAATATTTGAGTAGTGTGCATGTGTTTTACAAAATATTAGTATTTGTTACTTATGTGTAAAATATTGAAAATATTTTAAGAGGTTGTAAATAATCTTTTGTCCTCTCTTTTAGTAAGAGTTGAAAATGTTTACTTTTTTCCCAAAATATACATAGAAAATCTATATTTGAAGTGAAATTCAAATTATAAGGTTAAGTTTCGACAATTTTTTGTCAGTGAACATAATAAAAAAAAATACAGAAGTAACAACCCTCTCTGAGATGGGCACAGGACGTTTGTGCTTTTTTACCTGTAACACGATAGGACATTTGCGCTCCAAACACTATGGACATTTGCGCTTTAAATTTTGATACACCTGTATTAAATTAACAGGACATTTGCGCTTCTTACCTGTAGTCGTCTTCCTGAAATTTTAATGAGTTGTAATCATTACGCAAATAAATTCAACTTATATTTGTGGTTAGTGAGTTCACATTGATATAGACTAGTAAAGGGGGAGGGGAATGTATATGTCATGATAGATTTTTATCATTGAACAACAGTCGGTTAATTACATTAAAATTCGTTATATTGATGAACAGGGGCCTAAATCAAGAATTGAGAAAGAGAAACTAGAAGATTTATTTGAAATGTGGATGAAATACCAGTCAGGACAGATTACAAGAGCTAAATTTGCTCATTCCCTGAGCCTCAGATATCAAGCAAAAACAGATCTTTGATGTCTATACGTGTCTTAATGTATTTAGAATGTTTACTTTTAGCTATATATAATAGCTATATTAATGTGCTATGAAATGACGTTTAAACACAAATGTGCTATGAAATGACTATTAAATTTTTAACCATAATGAAAATTTTCACTTTAATTCTGCCAGGTCCAACCTACCGGACCTAAGCCTGGATAACATAGGAGGGGAGTCGTAAGAAGCAAATATTGTAAAAGCACAAATGTCCTTTTTTAAAAAGCGCAAATGTCCTATAAATTGAAGCGCAAATATCCATTAAGAAAAGTGCAAACGTCCCGCGCCGTCTGAGATAGTGTTAGTTCTTTAGTAAGATAGTAATTGCAGTGAAATATGTTACTTTAAATGAAAGGAATGGTGTCATTTAAAAATCTATTTAAAAAAGTAGGGCATTGGTGTCATTTCTTTTTCATCTACCTTTCCTGTCTTGATAATTTAAATTGGGTAGGTAGGTTTTGGCTACTCTTTGAGTTCTTGAAATTGGAAAAATAATGTTAAAATCTAAAGCATATAATGGTTGTCTTAAAAATTATAAATAATTGAAGATGAAGGCATTTTTAGTGGATAGGGAAAAAACATTTTTATTTTGGCACTTGTTTTCTTTTCTGAATATGCAGAATTTGAAAATACCTTTGATGCCATCAATTCCAGTTTAACTGATTTAATGTTGTGCAAAAAACAAATGAAAGTTTGTGTGTATTCCATCAAATATATGTTTATTTAGTTGCAAATTCTAAAATGATAAATTGAAAACTAAGAAATACTTTAAAATTCAAATGTATGAGATGGCAAACAAGTTCTTATGATAATTTCATTACAACATATAGACCTATCAGGATGAAATAAGATTAATATTTAGATTTGAACTGGTATTAGAACGATAAGTTTTTGTTACCCTATAAGGTTAAGAAACCATTTGGTTATAAAGTATAGTAGAACTTGTCTAAACAGGACCCCTTCAGGACTGAATAGTTAGTTTAGATTAGACAGTTGGTAATTTTTTACAGGGCAAATATTATCAGCATGTCCTGATTCAAGAGATCAGTTTCCTTAGGTTTCTAGTTTATGCTGGGTTTAGTTTAGACAAGTTTAATTGTACTGGCTTTTATAAATGTATTAAAGTTAAGATATATTTAACATTAGCTTGACAATATTTGTTTTTATAATAATGAAATGCATGAGGCCAGGTTTGCAAGTTTGCTTGATAAGTTGCAGCTTTTTTTCAGAATGAAAACTACCCTGGATTGTCTGATACATTATGATATTAGTTCCAAGATTTTATCTGAAAATAACAGTGGTATTCAAGAAATTTATGTTTCATTTTTTTCTTTGAATCACTAATTTTTTTTACCTGTTTGAAACATATATTTCGAAAATTCAATTGAATTCAAAATCAAATAGAAATTGATTGTTTCAAAACAGAAATTTTCTGAATTATAAATGTTTCATTTATTTTTGGAAAAAAATCTTGACATCAATGATGATATTAATAAAAAATGTTATTATTGCGCTAGCAAAGGACAGCAGTAAAATTTAAACATTCTTTATCAAAACTTACTGTTGATTCATTATTATTTGGTGGATACCAATTTTTGGTGGATTTCGTAAATAAACGTGAACCACAAATTAAAATGTTCAACAAAGTATACATTTTTTTATAGGCTTGTATGCAAAATTCTGCAAAACCACAAAACCAAATATCCAGTAATATACCAATTTCCCTCAATCCACGGAAATTGGTACCAATGAAAATAAATGAATCCACAGTAACACTGTTTATAGAAGCTAAAACATTTTACATTTATATATTGTGTTGTACAACCAAAAGAAGATATACAAAATACCCAATAGTTTGATCAACAAGCAGACTTGCAACAGATGGCCTGGAATTGTAATATATAATTGCTTCTGTTAGTAAACATAATATAGATATGCTGTTATAACATATGTATGCACACTTTATACTACTTTATAGTGCTCAGTTCCGTCGTCAACGGGAAATCGAGGAAGATGACGACGAAAATACAAACAGAATGCTGGCACAAGAAGATAGAAATAAGAAATCTAAACTTTCATTGTTAGATTTTCTTAATGAGTAAGTCAAACAGTGTGTTGTGCATTGGCTGTGTAAGTCACCATTATAAAAGGCAAAGGAACTTTTGAAAATTTTAATTCAAGTTTTCAAATCTTATGCTTATTTTTCAGTTCTTTCACATTTTCAAACCTTTAATACCTTTAATTCCAACCTTAAATTCCATCCTTAAATTCCATCCTAGAACTATCAATTCACAGAAATGTAGCAAAAGTTAATACTTTTGGAAAAGTAGAATAACAATACTGAATGCCAAGGTAAATCCATTAAGGGGGAGTCGATAAACACTGACAAAATCAAGCGGTATTGGATTTTGAAACATTCCTAAGTCTTGAAATGGTGCATTAGGTGTGAAATGCTATTCAGGTGTGAAAACTTGTACTGTAGCTCTGGTCAGCTTGAGCTGTAAAAGATATATATGTAGCAGTTTCTTGACTGTATCTGTAAGCTCATTCTTTTGTATGTTTTGTTTCAGCTTCTGAAAATAAATCATATGTCTTTATTTTTTCTGTCATGATATTTCTAAAAAATACTCCTGTGGCATCTGAGTGTCATGTAAGCGTACATTTTTATGAATCATAACTGATTGTTTTTGTGTTGGCAGTAACCTCGGCTAGCTTCAAAGCTCTGTATCTTGTTATTTTCTGCTCTGTTGGTATGGTTTTTATGTTCCCAGCAAAAATATCGGCAGCATATTGTAATTGCTTTGTCCTTCATTCTGGGTGTTCAAAACAAATGTTTTGGGGTTGATAGTTTGCACATTTATACTCAATTTTGGGAGCATCAGTTGGTTATGCCAGCTTTTTATTTGTTTCCATTAGAAATTCTCAAATTTTTTCGTATGTTTTGAGTTGCATTATCAATAAAAACTGTTGGTTATTTGTCCCCTACCGACGAAGTTGAAGGGGACTTTAGGTTTGCACTCTTTCTGTCTGTCTGTCTATCTGTCTGTCTGTCTGTCCCTCCATCAGTCCGGCAAATCAGTTTTCCACACTTTTTTCTACGTGCTTGAAGATATTGATTTGATATTTTGTATATTGTTTTATCATGACAAGTTACAGATCAAGTTCGAATTTTGTTCCGGTCTGATGATTTTATGCTGAGTTATGGTCCTTGGACTTAGAAAATTCACTTAAATAATCAGTTTTCCACACTTTTTTTCGTCATGCTTGAAGATATTGTCTTGATATTTGTTATATAGTTTACACCATGACAAGTTATAGATCAAGTTAGCATTTTGTTCCAGTACAACAAATTTTTAACCGGTAGGGGACTATGTATTGCTATGCAATACTCTCGGAATGCTTGTTTATTTTAAACAAGTGAACTCCAATTATTTGAAATGCAAAGTACTAGAATTTAAAATTATTCAAATTTATAGTAAAATTATGTCCAGAAATAATATAGTAAGCACAAAGACATACATGAAGCTATGATACTGTGCAGATAAGATTCAAGGACCTTTTAAAACATATCCTCCTGATGAAGTAAATGCAAAAGAAATCGACTCTTCCCATTTATTATCAAAGTTTTAATTATTGGATTGTAACATATGGAACAATGTTTAAGAATTATTTAAGATCTTGCTTATTTTAATACATGTTGACTTGGCTTAAATCTTATAGAAAGTGGTCAGAGTAAAGTGTTTATAGTGTCAATCAATCTTGGGAATGAAATACTATATATACGTCATGGTACATTGAGTACTATCGAGGATTTATATAGTATCTTACTATATAAGTCCTTGGTACTATACAGAAATTTTTTAAAGTACAAATAGAAGAGGAATTCATGTTCATTTTTATTATTGACGAATTACTGGTAATTGCTTTTGTTTATTTTGCTTCTTCTTACATAGACGATTTTATCCAGCTTGCTTTTAGCTTGCTTGACTTACATCTAACATTATCACCTCAACTGCTTAGTTGCTTTTGTTTTATAAATTTCTATATAAAAAAAATGTTTTAATATATATTTTATTACAGCGATTACTTTATTACAAAAATATACTGGTATAGAGAAAACCATTGATTTTATAGCATGAATCCTTGAAAATGACATATATCATTCTCACGCTAGTGATCCATTAGTTTTTCCCTCTGTCAAAAGTTAAAGAAATAGGTCAGTTACCTTAGTTTAGCATTGTAAACACAATCAGGGATAATTGATATTTAGGAATTGATGTTGAATAAACCTTTCTCTAATTCTTACCAGATTTATACTTTCCCCTACTGGTTGATTATTTTTTATAATCAAAGTGAGTTTGCTTGATCACAGTTCTTCATTGGTGAAAGTTAAATAATGATGTCAAATTTTCTTGATCCTTGGATTTTGCTATTGTGACGTCATGAAAAAAGGCGACCATGTCTGATGACATCACATAGAAAGAACTAGATCATTTTGCAGGTTATGAAAAAAAAAGAGATAAATTTGCCTTCATATAGTCTAAATATCATTAGAAAAACAGATTCTACCACCATTCTTTGTGATATATGTGATATTTCTTCCTCCTCTCTCATCAATAAAATGTGAATATTTAATTGTCTCTCTAGGAGAAATATCTTTTACACTGGGTGGAGTGGTATAATCTATATTTCACCATGCATACGAAATTATAGATAAAGAGTGTAGCAATCTCTAATTTGTTGTTATTATAAGAAAGTTTTACTTGTATATTTTGGAGAAAACACATAAAAGTTACAAAAACCTGTGAGTCAGAGAGAGAAACCCAAAATCTAAAAGAACTTATGTGTCTTCAGAAGAATGAGAAACATAAGGGAACCTGTGTGTCATAGGGAAAACCAATGTCGTAGGGGATCTCCCTGAGAGAAGACCAAACTCTTAATGAACAAGAACATTGTATTGTTATGAGAAACCCATATTCCAAGGAAACCTCAGTATATTTGAGAGAAACTCTTCCCTTGAAATTTGTTAGCACTACAGTCAACAAAAAGTGAATCGAAGGAGCTAGAGAGAAACCAATAACTCACAAATGTTGAACTGCTTTATTTATAATTTTGAACAGAATTTGTGAAAACTTGACTAAACTTCATAAATCTTATTTAAAATCTCTGGAAAAATTTCAACTACAAAAGTTAGTAAATAAAAATATCTGATTTCTTCCACACATTTAGAGAACAAAAAAAGATTCTTTTCATAGAAGACTTCAAGTAAATATAAAATGTTTTTCAATGTATTAAACGACCAACTATCTGGTAATTGAAACTAAATTTTGATATATTTCACTTGCCAGATATTTGAGGCAGAAAATCCATTATTTTTATTATTTATTTCTCTCACTTTCAGCTCAAGTTTGAATGAAGAACAGAAATTAGCAAAGAAAGAAGAGAAGAAAAGAAAAACCAGTGTCTTCTCTCGGATATCAAGTAGCTACAGAACAAAAAAGGTCAGTTTATTTGAAGTATCTTCTGCCAAGTCAAAGTGTAATAGTAAAGATATCATGCCTCCTCAATTCCTATCCTGTTTTAGATCAGACCATGGAAATTTTTATAAACAGTTCATGATCACTTCATGGCTCCTTAAAAGACATGATACTCTTCATGAATATACGATAGAATTGTGTCTCAGAAATTAAAAGATGGAGAACCATATTTTTAAGGTCTTATCTGGAGTGTCACATTACAGGGAGTCTGAATTTTGACTACTTATTTGTAGCCCATATCCCATAATAATATTTTGAATAAAATATTGAACCTTTATTCAAATTACTGTAAACTAACTAATTTCTAGTGAGTAACAAGACTTTTACTAGTAGAAAACTATTTCGTTGTAAATATGTTGAACTTGGATCTTTGCTGATATGCATACATCATCATCATTATATATTGAGGTGCAGAAGGACCTTTTTTCGGGACGATGGGATTAGGCCTTAATTTTTGCAGGAATTCATGATTGCGCCTTATTTTTTTGCGGTACTTTGAGATAAGCCCTTATCAGGACTGGGAATTAATGATTAATTTTTCAGGATACGGGGAAGAATGCTTTATTTTTTTGGAAATTCGGGATGACACCCCCTCCTTCTGCCCCTCTATATTGGTTTTGGCTTCATTATTAAGATGGAAACGAGAAAATGTTAAAGGCAATCAGTTATTTACAAGGAAAATATGAATTAAATTTGTAAAAGGTAAAACTGGGGAAAAGTTCAGCTGATTAAAAAGTTCTACTCAATATTTAAAATGTTGATTTTTTAAAGTGAGGAGGAAAAGTTGCTTGACCAGGTGTCTATCTGTTCATAACTAATAAGCTATTATACATTTACTACAAAATCAGCTCATTACATAAATTCATTTGAAAAAGTTATACATGTAATATGTTACAATACTATGAAAAAAAAATCTTAAGTAGACTAGCAAAATATAAATAGATAATATTTTTTTATAATGAATTTGTTAATACATGCTACAATTTGATGCATTGATAACAGGCCTCACTCTGGGAAATCTCCCGTAAAACAAACTGCAAAATGACGTGTCTGTTCTTCGCAGATAGTTTCCGATGACTGACATAATTACACAATATAAGTTAATTATGCAAGGAAACTGCATTTAAACATCACAAAACACTTTGAGCTTTCATTTGATCCTAAATTACATCAAAAGGAAGATCAAATGTACTTCTATCAGATACATTTTAAAGTCAAGACCTTCTAGGAACAATGCCAGTAAGAGTTGTCTCTCTTTCTTCACAGTGGATAAAATCAAAGTCTAATCAAACTCTCAACTTCTAACCTGTCAGGTTTTATCAGATCGAAAATAAAAGTTGTTCTTATCATCTTTAGCCAAATTAAATCAATAATTACATAATGATGAGTTGCACCTGAGCAAACATTTCTAAAGTCAGGTGCAAAGACATAGAACTTTCACTTAAGTAAACATGGGAAGTGATAAAAAGATTCCAGGTGTACCATCCAACTGATTTGAGGTCTGTGGTTCAAACTTTGTTAAAATGAAGCCAGCCAAAAAATCAGAAATCGGTTAACTTATACTTGTTGACTTTTTGATTAAATACTATGTTAATTAATGTAATTATGTAAAGAAAGTTATTCAGTAATAATATTTGAATAATTGGAGGTGTGGAGTAAGCCTTAGTGAGACAGCAGTCTAACAACACATTAAAACCTATTTGCAGTCTTCAATGTTAGTTGAGTGTCCATGCAAAATATAGAGCTTTAAATTGACTAAACTTTGGTATACTGAAACAGATTATAAAGTTTTTTCAAGAGCCTTTTTGACTATTTAGCGTACCTTGCCCACTGGGCCATGTGAACTTTAACCATCACTTGGGGCCCGTAATTTATTTTGATTTACACAGGGATTTAGCAATTACCTTTCCAAAAGATATAGTTCCTCTATTATCTAAAGGCAACTACAGATTGCATGGCTGTATCAGGTGGCAGGCACCATTATGAATTAGTTTTTTTTATTAGGATATTTGGAATGAAGATTATTCGGCCCCACCCCCTTAGTCACAGTGTATTGACTTTGAAACTAGTATAGTTTTTATGTTAAATGTTTAAGGGAACCATTGATGGTAACTTAATGATATTTGTATGCAGTTGTATTAGCATAAGCACATCTCATCTCAATGGAGATTATATGGTGTAATCCATTCAGTAATCTTTCACTGACTTTGAAACTTTTACATAGATTTTTATTAGGTTAATTTAAGGAGAACCACTTATGATAAGTCAATGATATTTGGTATGCAGTTGTATTAGCATTGGCACAAATCATATCCATTGAGATTATTTTGTTGTGCATCCTCAATCATGGTTTATTGACTTTGAACATTTTGCATAGTTCACATGTTAAAGTTTGTGATATGGCTATTTTTGTTTTAACATTTGCGCTATACTATCAAAATTACATAAAGGCCAGACATTTCTTTGTGTCAACAGTTTACTTTTTCTAAACAAGAAGTTAGTTATAAGGCCTAAAGCAAATATGTAAGACAAGTTCAAAAATATAACTACTGATATCCGACAGATTAATGTACATGTTTTGTGATTATCTAAAAGGATGTTGATGGAAAGATTTATGATAGTTGTGCATGGATTTTTTGAATTCGAGGTGTGAAAAAAGTTCCCTTTTTGTACCCTTTTGGAATTGGACACACTTCATAAGATTTAACAATTGTACCCCTGCCTCAATGATATCTGCCTATTTTTATACGCCCGTTTACGGGACGTATTATGGTATACTTCTGTCCGTCCGTCTGTCCTTCCGTCGTCAACATGTTGGACACTAACTCAAAAATGCTTTAACCAATTTGCATAAAACTTTGGTGAATTGTTTATATCTATTGACGTGAGCTCCCTTTCGTTTTTTATAAAATTTAGATTTTATTTTATCGTCGTATATTGGTATGACGTTGGCGTCGTCGTCGTCCGGCATCGTCCGAAGACACATTGGTTTTCGCACTCTAACTTTAGTTTAAGTGAATGGATCTCTATGAAATTTTACCATAAGGTTCAATACCACAAAAGGAAGGTTGGGATTGATTTTGGGGGTTATGGTACCAACAGTTAAGGAATTAGGGGCCAAAAAGGGGCCAAAAATAAGCATTTTTTGTAACTTCCAGACATAACTTGTGTGTTAGTGTATGGATCTCTCTGACATTGTACCACAAGGTTCCATATCACACAGGGAATGCTGGGATTAATTTTGGGGGTAATTGCCTCAAAATATTAGGAATTAGGGGCCAAAAAAGGGGGAAAAAACAAGCATTTTTTTAGTTTCATGACAATAACTTGTGTGTAAGTGTATGGATCTTTCTGAAATTGTACTACAAGGTTCCATATCACAAAGGGAAAGCTGGAATTGAGTTTGGGGGTAATTGCCCAAAACGTTTAGGAATAAGGGGCCAAAAAGGGGCCAAAAATAAGCATTTTTCTAGTTTCCAGACAATAACTTGTGTTCAAGTGTATGGATCTCTCTGAAATTGTACTACAAGGTTCCATATCACAAAGGGAAAGCTGGAATTGAGTTTGGGGGTAATTGCCCAAAATGTTTAGGAATAAGGGGCCAAAAATAAGCATTTTTCTAGTTTCCAGACAATAACTTGTGTTCAAGTGTATGGATCTCTCTGAAATTGTACTGCAAGGTACCATACCACAAAGGGAAGGCTGGGATTGAGTTTGGGGGTGATGAATCATAAGGGGGTTCAAAAAATTTGGGGGGGGGGGATTTTTTTTTTTTCCTTTTTTTCCTTTTTTTTTCTTTTAAAATTTTCCATTTTAAGTTGGTTATTTCTGTTTTATATTTAAAAGCAAATAATAATGATATGGTAGGAGATACACACCAAACAGGATGTGTAAATTATTATAAAATAAGTATTGTGCAATAGCAAGAAATTTTCAATTGCACAGTATTGCACAATAGCAAGAAATCTTCAATTGCACAGTATTGCGCAATAGCAAGAAATCTTCAATTGCACAGTATTGTGCAATAGCAAGAAATATCCAATAGCACAATATTGCGCAATAGCAAGAAATTGTCAATTGTACAGTATTGTGCAATAGCAAGAAATATTCAATTGCACAGTATTGTGCAAAAGAAGATACTTCGTATAAATTGCTTATTTCTTGACCAATTTCAATGGGGTTTTATTCTTGAATTCTTGGGGTTCTTTAATATGCTGATTCTAACCGTGTATTAAGTTTTTGGATTTTGGGCCCCGTTTTTAAATTGGTCCACATTGAGGTCCAAAGGGTCCAAAATTAAACTTTGTTTGATTTCATCAAAAATTGAATTATTGGGGTTCTTTGATATGCCGAATCTAACCGTGTATTTAGATTCTTAATTTTTGGTTCTGTTTTCAAATTGGTCTACATTAAGGTCCAAAGGGTCCAAAATTAAACTTAGTTTGATTTTAACAAAAATTGAATTCTTAGGGTTCTTTGATATGCTGAATCTAAACATGTATTTAGATTTTTGATTATGGGCCCAGTTTTCAAGTTGGTCCAAATCGGGGTCCAAAATTAAACTTTGTTTGATTTCATCAAAAATTGAATTCTTAGGGTTCTTTGATATGCTGAATCTAACCATGTATTTAGATTTTGGATATTGGACCATAATAGTTGAATGTCCAATTTAAAATTTTTAAGTTCTTAGACCACATTCATTCTGTGTCAGAAACCTATGCTGTGTCAAATATTTAATCACAATCCAAATTCAGAGCTGTATCAAGCTTGAATGTTGTGTCCATACTTGCCCCAACTGTTCAGGGTTCGACCTCTGCGGTCGTATCAAGCTGCGCCCTGCGGAGCATTTTATTTTCATCATGCTTGAAGATATTGACTTGATATTTGTTCCATAGTTACCATGACAAGTTATAGATCATGTTAGCATTTTGTTCTATGACAATGAATTTTTAACCGGTAGGGGA